CATGGTTGTGGACTGAGGGTTCAGGGTTGGAGTGTGGGGGTGCAGGGTTGGGGCTGGGGGTTCAGGGTTGGGGTGTAGGGATGCATGGCTGGGGGCTGGGGGTGCAGGGTTGAGGTCTGAGGGTTCAGTGTTGGGGTGTGGGGATACATGGATGGGGCTGAGGGTGCAGGGTTGTGGGCTGAGGGTGCAAGGTTGGGGTCTGGGGGTGCGGGGTCAGGGGCTGAGTGTGCAGGGTTGAGGTTTGGGGTTGCAGGCTTGGGAGCTGAGGGTGCAGGGTTTGGTTGCTGGTGCTGCCGAATGGCAGCCCTATAGACTTCCATGCAGAGCAGAGGCTCCTGCCTACTCTTTCCCCTCATCCCTCCTCTCCCCCCATGCATGCTCTCACTAAAGACACAATCTGCTTCTTCCCCTTTTACTCCAAGGAAGCTGATGGGTTGCACTGCTGCGTTCTAAGCTGCAGAGTGCACTCACAGATGAGCCTTCTCCCTAAATAGCAGACCCACAGAAACCCCCAAGGCCACACCAGTGGGCTCTGTTTGGCTGTGGTCCCGTGGCATTTCCACATTATTTGGAAATGGGCCTCAATTTGTCTAATTTTTAACCACTGCAGCACTGGCATCGCTCTGGGGACGCATCCCAGGGGAACACCAAGGATCCCTTCTCCTTTGATGTCCCTTCCATGTCCCTTTTGCCAAATCTGTGATGGTCAGGTGGCACCAAATGGGCGCTTGGGTTCTGTTCTACTCTGCAGGCGATGGAGGGCGAGTGGGAAAAGCTTTCCACCCCTCCCCTGCAACAAGAGGTGGTTTCATCTCCACCACCCTCATTTGGTTTTACATTGCAAATGAAACAATGCTTGGAAAGATGCAAATGGGAGTGGAAATAGAGGTAAACACTCTCCACTAAAATAGCCTGGGTGGGTGCTTTTGGTGTCTGTTTGTGTCTGCAAAACCCACCGTTGTCTGCAGAATCCAAAAGATGAGCATGCAGCATCCCATGGAAAGTGCAGCCATCATATTTCGTTCCTTGGGCTCAGCAAAATGAATTCTGTCTTTGGACAACGTGATGTGTCCGCATCTTTCATGAGCCTGCAACTTTGAGGTGAAGCAAATGAGCTGGAAAAAGGCTGCGGGTTTCCTCCCTGCCCAGAGCTCTCTGTTTAATGGAATATAACGCCTTGCTGTATGAATAAGCATCGATCTGCTGAATCTGAATTGTTTTGTGGTCACAAGCACGGTGGTGGTGTTGAATGCATGTGATGAGGAAGATACAGGGTGATTCTCATAGGGCTGAGGTTGGTTTGCAGGGCTGCTGTTCCCTTGGAGGTGTTATGGGCACATGTATGGTGTTCAGGGTGGGGATTTGGGGTGAAAAGAGATCTCTGTTTGGTCTGGGATTTATATTTCATTAATGTAGTTAAGCATTTCCAAATCGGCACACTTGGAAACAGAATGGTTGCAGCACTCCCTGAAGTCAGGCTGAAGGCAAAAGGCATCTCCTTGGACTGGCAGCAAAGCCCCATATGGGAGCCTGGTTTGGGGCAAGTTCTGAGCCCTTCCCATTTTGGACGGGGCTGTGTGCTTTGTCCCTTAGGCTCTCAATGTACTGCTCCTTGCACAGCGTGCTTGGTTGTTGAGGTGGGGACAGGGGACACCTGGGGTCCTCCCAGAGGGGCTGGGGATGGAGGGGACATGGGTAGAGTCCTCCTGGAGGGACTGGGGACAAGAGGGTATGGGTAGAGTCTTCCTGGAGAGGATGGAGGTGGGGAGATGACATGAGCAGGGTCCTCCTGAAGGGGCTGGGGATGAGGAGCCATGGATAGGTCCTCCTGGGGAGGATGGAGATGAGGAGATGACATGGGTATGGTCCTCCCAAAGAGGCTAGGGATGAAGGTAGGGTCTTTGTGGAGAGGCTGGGACAAGGGACACATGCAGGTTTGTCCTGCTGCTGGCCTTTGGGAGGCACCGAGCGGATCAGGAGGCTCCGTGTTGTCCTCCATCCCCTTTCCATGTTGTCCTCCATCCCCTTTCCATGTTGTCCTCCATCCCCTTTCATGCCACTCCTTTGTGGTGTTGTTTGGCCGTGGCTGGCCCTTTGTTTTTACAGCTGCTGGAAGTGTTTTGAGCTGAAAGGTTTATTTTCTTCCCTCTGCTTGTCGTCACAGGTTTGTTTTCTTTCTCCCCCCGGCATCTCGTGGCCGTGCTGGGCTCTGGGAAGCCCGGCTCCTCCTGGCTCTGCTAGGGAGGCCCGTGGGTCTCACAGCTTTCCCTTGGTCTCGTTGGCTGTCATTCTGTCCATGGAATGACCCCTCCTCCGGGCAGAAGGGCCACGCTGTAGCATTTTTCCACCACTGCAATGAATTAGGGCTGAATTGTGGGCAGGCTCGCTCTGCTCCCCATTACCTCTGGGTGACTGGGTCCCCATCCCTCCTCTTGGTTCTATCACCATCTCCCAGACCATCTTCCAAAAGACTGTGAGTACTACAGTGTCTTTTTTTTTTTTTTTTCTTCCTCTTTCTGCCTTTGTTCTGTCTGTAGGTTTCGTTTCTCTCCTGCTTTGTCTCCATACTCATCCCTTGCCCAGAGCCAATGGGATATGGATCATTCCCCTTTCCCTTCATGGTACCTCTCCCATTTTTCCCCAACCCCAAATCTTGCCTACAATCCTTCTCCCATTGTGGACCAGGCAGAAACTGCTGAACCAGAACCCACTGGCAGAGCAGCTGCTGAGCACAGGAATTAACGAGCACTGAAATGGTGGCATCAGCTCTTTTTTAAAATCCAAATGATCCCCGAGTGCTCCTTTGGGGAGGGGGAGGACACCAGGCATCCCCTCCGGGTAGGGGTGGTTTTAGATTCTTGGGGCTTTCGTCGTCCCAACTAAAGAGCTAAAGGAGAAGGGTTGGATAGCCCCAAATCTGTGGTTTGGGGGAGAGTGATGTGTGTTGGTTCACAGTGATGCCCAACGATGGGTTTTGGGATTGTGGATGGGATCCACTGACATTTTGCTTCCCCACCAGGCAGTGGGAACCCCGAGCTTTCCCTTCCCTCTACATATAGGACCTCTGCAGCCAAAATGTGCTCATTTGGGGCAGCACAGGGCATGAATGGGAGACACCCCCAAGCATCCCCTTGAGGCAGGAGCAGCTTTGAACTCTTGGGGCTTTCATCATCCCAGCTAAAGAAATAGAGGGGAAGGATTGGGAAGCCCCAAATCTATGGTTTGGGGGGAGTAGATCTCAGATCTGTGTTGATTTGCATTGTCCCATCCAACATCCCTCTGTAAGACAGTCCCAAGCGATGGGTTTTGGGATTGTGGATGGGATCCACCGACGTGAGGCAGTGAGGACCCCAGGCTTTCCCCCTCCCTTTGCATACAGGACCTCTGCAGCCAAAACGTGGCCTTTTTAAGGCAACATAGGATGTGAATGGGAGCTGTGCCCCTCTGGCTGAGCGTCCTGAGCTGCCCTCCAGGTGTTCAGCGCTGCTCACCCTGACTTTTATTTTGTGTATTGGAGGCAGAATTGTTTTGTCCGACGCCGGGAAGGGGAAGTGAACACATTGTATGGTCCCCTCCACAATCCACGTCCTGTAAACAGCCCACGACTGCCTTCCCTTCCAAGCTGTTTGTTCCTCTGCAGGGCGGATGGGGCTGGTAAATAAACGGGGACGTGGGGCTTCCCCAGGATCCATCCCATAGCTCTGTGATGCAGCCATGGGATTTTTCTGCTGCGGGGGACAAAACAGCCCCACCGGTTTGCCTGGGCCTTAAAGCTAATTACCAGTCGACTAATTTTATTGATTTCAAATCCCTTTTAGCAGAGATTTTGCCTTGGGGCTGATCGCCAGAGCGATTAGGACGCAAAGCAGCTTAATTTGGAAGTGTTTATCAAGCAGCCTTCTGTCACCTCTGCTTCAAATCAAATTAGGGTGGAGCACCGGGGCTCTCCTGGTGGCATCCCACCTCCATCCATCCACCCCTGGGCTGTGTTGGCCCTTCCCATCCCGATGCAAAGCCACGATGCTCTCTAATTGTGCCCTGCTGATGCTCTGAAGGCTTCAGGTCAGGCTCAGCATGGATGAATTCCTTGTATCCACACGGAGCAATTCTTGCCTATCAGCTCTTCTGTGCCACAGAAATCATAAAGGATAAAAACCCCACGACTGTCTGACAGCTACATCTTATTCTATTAGTACGTTTTAATTAGAACACCAGCAAGAAATGAGTTATGAATATTCATGCCCAGGGTTATTAAAATGCACAATTAATCTGCGCGCTTCTTAATAACTGTATTAATGGAGAGAAGGAGGTGCAGCTCCTGTTCTCCACTTGTTTTCGGAATTGTGAAGCGTGCCCCAACCTGCTTGGCTGCAAAAATGAAGCAGCTGCATTGCACATGTGGGTGTCTGAGCACCCTGTGCTGGAGGTGAGCACTGCAGAGCTCCAGGGCTTTGCTGTGCCACGCTGCAGCCGTGCTGCAATCTCACGCTTGCCTTAGATTTGTGTTGTTTTGTTGGTTGTTTTGTGTTTTGTTTTTTGCCCAGAGCAAGTGGGTGCTGTTCCAGAAACACCTGCTTTTGGCCGACCTTTGGGATGCTGGAGGGTGCAGCAGAGGGAGTTTGCTGCCAAATTGTAGCTCCTTGTTGATAGGAGGGGAGGGAAGAGCAGCCTGGTGATGAGCAGCTGCCAAGGGGTGAGGTGGGCAGTTGTGTTTTCTGCACCTGAATTCTCCCAACACCTGCAGGCTGCAGTGGGGCATTCTGCACTGGTGATGGGGTGAGACTTTCTGCCAGCCCCACGCTGGCTATGGGGCAGCTGTTGGGGTCCTTCTGACCCCTGTGCTGTCCCTGAGCTGTGCTCTGTTTGCTGGCTGGGCAGCAGAGCAAAAGCTTCTCTGTGTTAATCATAGAATGGATTGGGTTGGAAGGGACCCTAAGGATCACTGGGTTCCCATCCCCTTGACATGGGAAGGGCCACCAACCTACAGATCTGTTGCTTGCCCAGGATGCCCAGGGTTCCATCCAACCTGGCCTTGAACACCTTCAGGGATGGGGCATCCACAGCCTCTCTGGGCAGCTGTTCCAGCACCTCACTGTAAGGAACATCCCCCCAAAATCCTATCTAAACCTTCCCTCCTTGAGCTTATAACCATTCCCCTTTGCCCTACTGCTTTCTACCCCTGTAAAAAGTAGATTCCCCCAATACAGAGCATGAAGATGCTAAAGGGACTTCGGGGGTCCCCAGTGCCCAGAGGCATCTGAGCCTCTCAGGCTCAGCTTAGGGCAGCAGAATGCTGCTCACCCCCTTCCTTGGAGCACTGGGATGCTCCCTGGATAGGAATATTTCTTTTTTTTTATTATTATTGTAGGATTTTTGGGCAAAAAAAAATTCATGGTGAGCTTCCAGGGACCCAAAGTCATGCAGGGCCCCATTGGTGGGGATGGGAGTCATGGGCTGCTGCCATGGGGGCTTGGCACTGTCCTCGTGCCTCCAGCATGTGAGAGCCAAGCAAAGGGAAGGAGCAGCTCTGCTTCCTGATCTCCACTGGTGTTTGCAGGGTATGCAGATGAATTGCTTTAGAAAAACACATTAGCAAAGCAAAAGTTTATTCTAGGAAGTAGGAGGTGGGAGAATTGGCAGTAATTCTCCCTAGTATCCAAGGTATTATTAGAGGCTTATCCCTGCTCTGCACAGTAATCACATTGGAAATTTTTGATTAGAAAACAAAATCTAAATGAGAAGTATGAATATTCATTAGGTGTGGAGATTAATATGCATAATTATGCAAATTAGACAGCAATTAAACACCAATTCTCTGGGGAAATGATTAACACAAAGGCACAGAAATAGAAGGATGTAATTTGAAAGAAGTTTCTGGTTAAATGAACAGTAAGGGGAGCGGAGGAGACAAATACCCACCGTGTTTGCCATAATAATCAGCTCTGCTAAAATGAAATGGGAGCCTGCCCACCCCGGCTGCACCCCATGGACCCCCACACCCCACAGCTTTTGGGTCAGTGGAGCCCTGCATGCCCCAGTGGAGGGGTGTGGGATCCCCCAGTCATGGGGATGGGGCTCAGGGCATGAGCTCACACCTTGCTGGGGCTTTGCAGCCCAAGGTGCAGCCCGAGAGGAGCTGGCAGCAGATGAAAGGAAACCAATTCCTACCACGAGAGTGCTGCAAAAGCCTCCTCTTGGTTCACTGCCATTATGGACTGAACCACCCTGATGAGAGAGAGGGGCTTTTGGAGGGCTGAAAACAACACGGGTGAGGGCGTGCTGTGCACAGCCCCGTCATGCCATCCCCCTTCACCTGCAGGAACACAGCAACTTAAACCAAAAATAGCCATGAACCACTGTCAGCCCCACTGATGTGCCCTCAGCCCCCTGTTGAGGCTCTTGGATGTTGAGCCATTGAGCACCAGGCAGCTCTTTGCACGCTGCTCCCACCAGCAAAAATCAGCACAAGCCTGGAGGCAGTCGGTTCTTCATTTGCAGTGGTCTCAGGATGAAGCAGAGTCACAGTGTTTGTTTCTCCTCTTCCCACTGCCCTCTGTGTTTTGAAGCATTTCCAGCCTGGTGTGGGATTTGCTTTGAAGCTGGTGGGATAAAATCCCAGCAGAGGTGGGAAGGTGGGGATGGAGAGGAGAGGATGATGGGTCGCACCGAGTGGAAGTGGTTTATTAATGAAAATATTGCTTTGTTTGTAGAAGGAAGAGTTAATTTTGCGAGAACACCTTTGAGGCTTTGCTGATAAAGCAAGAGTAACCTTTGTTCTTCCTGTTTTTTTGTAGGTTTGGATGAAAGACCGGGATCAGGTTCCTGGGGAACGGGAGATCAAAACAGCTCCACGTTTGACCAAGGAAGGGTAAGGATGGAGCACAAACACTGAGCTCAAAGGAAAAATAAACGGGGGCTCTGCTGAGCCTTTCAGAGCATGCATTTGTGCCCAGGTCAGCCCTGACCCCTGGAACTGCCTTTTTTGCTCCATTTTGGGCCGTGTTTCTGTTATTGGAAGGCAGGCAGAGGGGACCCTACCTCTCCTCCAAACCCTCGTGCAGACTTTCAGCCCATATTCTCCCTTCTCCCCAGGTTCAGATTTGGGCATGGGGAGAAGCAGGCTTATTACAATGGTGTGGAAGAGGTCCCCAAATCGGGATGAGTTTTGGGAGCACTGGGAAGGTTTCAGCATGAAGAAGCCAAAACTGAACAGCATAGAGCTGGGGCCCGAGGAGAAAAAGAGAGAAAAGACATTAACTTAATTGAAATGGTGTTTTTTTGACAGATGCTCATGTTTTAATGGGTTTGTGTGATTCGTTTTCATGATGGCACCGTTCCCTTCCCTTAGGTCAGTGGTGGAGCAGCTCTGTGTCATTTCTCATTTTTATAGAGCTCCTCTTCCCCTCCGCTCCCCCCAGCTCAGGGGGGTTTGGGGGCTCTTTGCTCCTCACCTGGTGGGCACTGAGCTGCTGAGCAAGGACAGAAAGCCATCAGGAGCCACCAGCACAGGGCCAACACCCTATAGATCCCTGCTTTGGTGCTGTGTCCCCTCCAAATGCCACAGCCTCGCTGCCTTGCTCCCTGCCACAAGGATGGGATCATTTCTCTCTCCTGTTTACAAGGTGCTTTTGACTTTGACCCTTCCCACTGCTCCCTGACAGCCTGGCCTCTCCAGAGCAAGTCTGTGCAGTGCAACTGATGCGACTTTGAGGCTAACCAGGGCCTTTGCATCTCCAGAGGGTGCCCATCAAGTGGCAACTTGGGACTTTTCCCCTCCTGTTGCATCAGGCAACATCTCACCACATTAAATGGGGCACACATAAGTACATATCCCACACTCCTCAGCATTTGGCTCAGCATCTCTGATGATCACTGTCTGTGTTGATTCAGCAGAGCTATGGTGAAGGCCCCCACTATGGTGAGCACCGGGACCTGCCGTCGCACAACAGCTTGTCTTCATCTCCATTCCTGGGACCTGGACTAGTGGGTGAGTGCCTCCTGCTGCCTGACAACACTGCAGACTCAAAGCAGGGCCAATCTAACAGCAACACACACTTCCTGGGAGCATTTGCACCGGCCAGCATCACTGCTTCCCCCAGCAGACCTGCTGTCGGGGCTGTGGTTAAAGCAGCTGTTGGCCAGAGGATCTCATCAGCACCCAGTGTGCAAGGCAGCCACTGTATTTATGGGCACAGTTATTTTTCTCTGTTTTACAGTAGCACTCGAGGGCAGTAAGAGAGGTTGATTCTGGCTGTGCTGGTGCAGGAAGGGCTGAATTTGCTCTCGAGGAGCTGCTAATCAGGGTTGGAGAGGCATGGAGAGAGGGACAACAGGCACAGCTCATCCTTAAGGTCTCAAAACAGGCTCACGGGGGCTTTGCCACACAGCCCCACTGCCCCAGGCAGTGTGATTCCTGCAGAGAGCTCCCTGCTCCTGTGGTGGCATCTGGAGAACTTTGTCTTGTGTTCTGACCCTCTCTGTCCACCTTCTCTGTGCTGGGTGGCATGAGGGACACAGCACGCCTTGCTGTGCCCATTACAGTGATCCTACGTGTGACACTTTACCCATCTCCCTCTCCCTTGGAGGTGGAAGGAGAGATTAAGAGCAGAAAATATCCACCCTGAAGGACTTAGAGAGCTGTAATGGCATTAGGAATTGGGGTTAGTCCTCCCCACCTTTGCCCACGCGGTGGTGGGTGGAACCCTCTGATTGGAAGCAGGGGAATGAGAAGGGGGCATTGGGTTTGAAACAGAAAATCCCCACTGGGCACAGAGGTTCCTCCTCTGGAGCAGGTCAGAAAGGGGAAGAAGAACAGGGTGGCACTGGGAAGCTGCTGTCAGCACTCTTCCTCCTCCTCCTGCCTTGTCTGTGGCACGAGGCTCGCTCTGAGCTCTGCTACGTTTCCTTGCCCTTCACCTTCTGAAGATGGCAGAGCGAGGGAGGTGATTCCTTCTTGTTTCCTGCCCCAGGAGGATGTAAGCAAAGCAGAAGAGATGTTTCTTCATAAGCGAGGGGAGCCTTGATGTCATGCAGCAGGGTTTGTTGGGGCATGAGTTGGGGCAGGAACCCTCCCATGCCGGGGGCAAAGGCAGCCCTAAGAGCTTCCAGGCGAGAAGGAGCTGCCTGGGGAGGAACACAGAGCTTTCCCCTTTGATGTGTGCAGGGAGAGGACACGTTTGGCTTCCTCTCAAAGCTGGGGCTCCCAGTGCTTAGCAAACAGCGTGGCTGCCAAGCTGGCTGCTCCCCAGCACGTGGAACCAGAGCCTCTGTGCCCCAATGGGTGACATCCTCCAACTGCCACTGAGCAGCTCACGCTGGCACCAACACCCTGCATTTTCCCCATGAGTGCTGGCAATGCCCCTGGCTCCAGGCAGAGCACTCCGAGCCACACCACCAAACCAAGAGCTGGGAAAGAGCAGATAGGAGGGGTGGGGGCCTCCTGCCATTTCAAAGTCACTTTTGTTCCTAAAATTGGATGTGGTTGAAGGAGAAAACACCAACCCCTGGAGCAGGATCCAAGATAAATACATAGGTTTTGCTTCGCCTCTGCACTCTTACACTGAAAACAGCAGCATGGAGGAAGACCACAGGTGGGGTTTTCTCTTCCTCATTACCAAACTGCTGCTGAAAACTTTTCAAGTGGCAAAAATCTTCAAGGGAAGATGAGAGAGAAGGAGAGCGGGTCAAAAAGAAAAAAAACAAGCAATCTTTTTGCATACAACTGCAGTAGCAGAGTGGGAGGGAAGTGTGAGCTTTGGAGATGTCACCTCCTTGTCACTCCCTGGTTTCCCAAAAGGTCTCCCTGGGTGGCACGAGGTGGTGGGTGATGAGGGAGGAGGGATTTTTTGTTTGTTTTAAATCACCCATCTTCCAAATCAGTCACTCCTTCACCATTCCCTTTCAGCGGGGAGTGGATGGCTGGGGGGACGTTGCTTAAACAGGGGGGAAACTGATAAGCCATAACAGATTTCTTTCTAGTAATTATTTCTAGTAATTAGCTTCTTTTCAGAGGAGTGTCTCTAATCTTGTGCACATTGTGAGCTGTTGTGGATTGTGTTTTTCCTGGACAATACTTCTAATCTGCCTGCGGATGGGGCTGGTTGCTGCTCCCCTGGTTTTTGTTAACATATTCCCCCCTCCCTCCTGTTCCAGCCTGGGCTTTGCTCATCCTTCCTCCCCAGGATGAGTTGTGATGGAGTTTGAAGGGCTGGGGCGATGCTGGGAGCCCTGGGAAGCACCCAGATGCCCAGGGGGTGTTGGTCAAATCTTTGGGCACATTGGGTCCTCTTCCCTTGCATGTCTGCAACTGGGACTTGAGGGGAGAAAAGGCAAACCCACAACTCTACTTAATAACACTGCTCAGGTTGTTGGAGGGGAGGTGCTCGTGCTCAGCCTCTGTGTCTCCCCACAAAAAAGGGATCCTGGTGTGTGATGTAATGATTTATTCTTCAACTTTCCATGCTATCTGTCCACCTGAACGCTGTTAGAATAGCAGGATTCAGTCATTTGGAGGTGGCATTCGGGGACATTCTTGGCACATTGCACTGAGAGCTGCTTCCATCCCACTCCGTGCTGCATGGTTGGAGCTTCGTCCCATTTCCTGCCCAATGCCTCCAGGCTATGCCAAACCCTAGAGCAGAGAAATCTGCCATCTTTCCAAAGTTTGGCATTCCTCAACATTCACCATCCCTCCTCTTTGCCATCTCTTCCCTCTTCTATACCTCCTCTTTACCATCTCTGCCATCCCTCCTCTCTCCCATCCTTCCCCTCTGCCATCCCTCCGCTTCGCCATCTCTTCTCTCTCCCATCCCTCCTCTCTGCCATCTCTCCAGTCCCATTTTCCTACCAAACTAAATCTACAATCTCTGCAGCCGAGATTTTCTCCTCTTTCTGCATTATCCTGGTGCAGGGCTGGGGGATGCCTCTCCTTCTGAAGTTCCTCCCACCCTCACGCCGCCGCTGATCAAAGCGTGCAGCAGATTGCTGGTACCAGGCACGCTTTGCTTCTGACATGAATCAAACGAGGCACAAAAGAACAAACATCAGATGAAAAGCAGAAGGTTTGGGGAGAGGCACTGAGCAGACTTGACGTTCACAGTTGTCATCTCACTCTTTTGCTTTCCGTGGTGGGTTTGGGATCGGGGGTGCCATCAGGTGGTTGGGTACAGAGATGGGTTTGCAGTGTAAAGGGCTGGAATTGCCCTGGTTTCCCTCTGGTTCAAGAGCAGCCATGATCCCCCCCAGTGACACAACCCGCTGAGCTATTTGTGTCACACCACAGCAAATATAGCTGCTAAGCTCTTTTAGAAATTAGGTCATTTAAGAGATCTGTCCTCTGACATCCTGACCTTTGTTTACTTAATGTTTAAGCCTCTGCAGCGAGGCAGAAGCAGGGCCTGGCACGTCTGCCCATTGGGATGGGGGGAGCAGGGCCAGGCTGGAGTCACCCCATCCCTTTGGGGCTCTCAGGATTGGCTGTGCAGCTGAGGGACCGCTCAGAAAACGGGGCTGAGCTCACCATCCCTGCACAAAATCAGTGCTGGGGGCTGCGGGGCGAGCAGCCCATCACATCCCCATCGTGGGGGGTGACTCAGGGCAATTTTCTCCCCACCATCTTCAGCTGCTCCCCCAGAGCTCTCAGCAGGGCGTGTGGCCCCAGTGTCGCCCCAGTGCATTATCCTGCATCTTAGGGCTTTAGGTTAAGCAGATTGGCCAAATCCTCCCCTGCCGGTTTTGCTGGTTGCAGCAGCGTGGAGGCAGGATGCCATCACCCCATTTTGGAGAAGGGGTTTTTTTGTGGTGGCCCCATCACTACCAGCTTCAGCCACGTGGGTTCCCCACACCAAAATGGGGCTGCCCTGCTGCTGGTCACAACCTTTTGGTCACCATCTCCACCAGCAGCATCACTCATAGGCTGTTGCTTTATGCTGACCAGGGATCTCACCCCCCTCACCCCCAGCACCCATGGGTGCTGCATGCCAGGCACCCCAGAGAGGTGTCTGTGAGGACCTCAGGATGGAAACATTTCACCATATGTCTTGGGTTTCTTTTTATTTTTTGTGCTTTTTTTCCCCCATGACGACAGCATTCTCAGCACTGTGTGGGTGGGGGGGGTGCTGAGCATCAATAGAAGGCATCACGGGTGCATGGGGTGCACATGGGAATGGGTGGCACAGGGCCTTGGGGACCCTGTGGGCTGGGGCTGAAGTGAGGAGCGAGGGAACTTTCCCATTGAACCCATTCCCCTTTGGAAAGCTGAGCATCCAGCAAAAAAAAAGGGGCAGGAAATAATCCACAAGGGCTGGGAGCTGAGCCCCAGCAAGATGGAGTGTCCCATTGTATGGGAAGCACATGCAGCCTGCTCCTTCCCTCCTGGCTCTGAGTTCTGTCTGCCTCTGCCAAACTCTGAGCTTTTTTTATTTAATATGTCTGGAGGTTTGTGTTGTGTTGGGTGTTTTTTTTGTGTGTGTGTGTGTGCTCTGGCCTCCAACTGCCAGTTTCCATGGCCACGAGCACTTCCCCGGTTTGGGGTTTTGCTGTTTGTGGACCGAGCCCTGCCTCTCACTCACTTAAAGGCGCTGCTGTGCTCTCAGAAAGCTGTTCCCTGCTTCTTGCAGGGAGAGCTGCTGCAGAGAAAGGGAGGGATGGGTGCAGGGTTCTGCTTCCCCATCACACAGAGCATCGTTTCTGTTTCTTCTCCACCGTAGGGAAGAGCGGTGAAAGAGCCTCGTACTCCACTTTTGGAAGAGACGCCGGGATGCCAGGGCTGAGCCAGGTAAGGGTAAAATACATGGAGTTTTTTTGCTGCTGTGAGAGTCCAGGGGTGAACAGCATGCTGGCAGCTCTGGGCATGAGGTCCTGCAAAGCTCAGAAGGGGCTGTGCAGTGCTGGTGTGTGCTGAGGGCTCAGGGTAGGAGCTGTCAGAGCTGGGGGTCAGGGGCTCCCCATCTCACTGCCAGCTTTGGCACTGCTGCTTTCCCTGCTCCCATCCCAGCCCCGGCACCTCCATCCCTACCACCTCCATCACATCAGCCCAGGCTGCAAACAAGAGGGAGCAAAACCCCTCCCTGGCCAGCACCTCATTGCTTGCCAAAGGGAGAAGCTGTGCCGTGGTTGCTGTGCTGCTGTGCCATCATTTTGCTGGGGATCAGGCAGTGTTTGAGTCTGTGGCCATTCAGGACCTGTGGCTGATGCTCATCACTGCAGTTAGGGGGGGACACAGCTCGGGGCTGGGGAGCAGAGCAAGGCGTTATGGAGGGGCACAGCCCTCAGCTGGCCAGCTTTTCTTTTCTCCGTGTCCACAAACACACATTACGTGTTTTAATTTTACACAAATTTGTCATAATTTCCTCTTCTCTGAACTGAGGATGTTTCCTTTGCTGAAACAGCTGTGCTGGTTGCCTGTGCCAGAGTGGATTTAATTTACCACTGAAGCTGCTAAAATAAAAACGGGACAGATGCCAAGCTGGGCTTTTTAATGTGATGGTTTTGCTGGGGTTTTGTGAAGGGGGGGGGAGAGATATAAGGTAACAGACACGGGGTGGGCAAATGGGGCTGCAGGCACACGGGGCTGGATCAGATGGCAGTGTGGGATGGGGGTATTTGATGTGGGGAGACACCAACCCCTCTCATCACAGTGTTGCTTGCAGTTGTTGCTGCTCGCTTCCATTCTGCAGGGGGGTTCTGACCTGTTTGGGCGTTTTTATTTTTGGAAAAGTGCCCCCAAATTGTCCCCGAAATGCCTTTGTTCCTTCCCACAACGCCCTCATTGAGGCAGATTTATGGCTGCCTGCTCACTGAGCAACCTCACGAAGCATCACTGGGGTGAGAGATGGAGCAAAAAGTGCCCATTTCTGGGGAGTTTACCCCCAAACCTCAATGCCCCCAGGGTTACCTGCCCACCACCATCCCCTCCCATTCTGCTCCTGTTCTGCTTGGCCAGGCCGGAGCGTTCAGCACAGAGGTAACATGACCAGTGGAACAGATTGCAGGAATGTCACCAGCTGTGAACACACAGCTCCTCTTTCCCTCCCCGACCCCTTTTTGGAGGAGGCCGTGCTTTAAGAGCAACGCATTTTTCTTCCCAGTTTCTCAAAAGCTTGAAGCCCTCCTTTCTTTCAGCTCAGCCCCTGAAGATGGTTCAAAGGGAGCTTTTGTGGCTCGGAGGCCCTTTGCCATCCCTGTGAATTCCCTATAAAGGCACAGAGCTCAGTCCCAGAGCCAGCAGTGGGGCTGGGCTGGGTGCTGTTTCCCTGCGCTTCCCAGTGCCCCAAGGTCAGCTCGGATAAACACAGGGGAGGAGTTTCCTCATTTCAGAAAGAGGGATTTCACTTTTCCCTGATAAAACGTAAGAGAAAAGCAGCCCAAAGTGAAAGCATTGCAGCTCTGCAGTGGGTCTGACTGCCTGGTGCCATGGACTGGGATCCTGGCTGTGGCTTTATGGGCAGGGAGGGACTCAGGTGGATCACTGATGGTGTCACCTCTCTTGCAGCTGGGATCAAATGGGCATTCAGGGCATAGCAGAGGGGCACCAACACCTGCTGAGTGCATCCGTGGGTAGCAGGGAGAACGCATGAAAGCCCCTCATCTTCTTGCACACACATCTTCTCCCCCACACCTCCCTTCAGCCCCTATATTTACACGTTGATTTTTCCTCCTGGCCCCTGGGCTTGTTGCTTTTTCCCCTGGCTGCTTTCTGCAGAGGTGCTTAAAGGCAGCTCTGTTCTCCCTAGGGGAGCTCAATGCTTTTCCAGCATCCTCACCCAAAGCTTTCTCCCTCTCCTTGTTTGCAGACTGGTTTCCTGCCCAGCGAAATGGGAATCGCCAGTCCGAGCACGCTTTCCCCCACTGGAGTGAAGGGGGGGTCTCAGTATTTTTCTTACCCCAACAATCCTCGCAGGAGAGGTGCTGAGAGCATCATAGGTACGTTGCTATTGGCACATTGCTTTGGTTTGGGTGGCTGACCACAGGGTGAGTCCCAGTGCTGCTGCCATGAGCTCACCTGGGTGCACATCTGGCTTCAGCTCTTTTATTGGTTGTTTGGTTTAATATATCTGCCCCTCCAAAGGAAAAAAAAAAAAAGAAAAAGAAAAATATATGGGAATTTGGGCTCTCAGTCATTTGGAATTTCCTCTTTTCCGGTAAATGTCAGGTTGGGTTACAGATGCAGATGGCTTGAGGTTCTTCTATAAACACCTCAAGCCGCATCGCACGTCAGTGGTCGTTCCTGGAAAACCTGGGGCTGTTTTGGGATGGCTGTGGGGGCTGCTGGTCCCCATTGGGGCTGTGGGAGCTGCAGTGTGACAGCACTGGGGCTGCCCCCCGTGCCCAGCAGCAGTTGTGCATGTTGGCATCTACCTGGAAATGGGGCACTTTGTTGGTGGTAACAAAGGGTAAGGTTGGGTGTGAATCCCATTTTCGGATGACAAAGCCCGATTCACCAGAATTTGTGTTTTTTGTCATAGTTCCACCCCACACCCCCACCAGAATCTCTCTGTTGTTATTTTGGGCTTTCCCCAACAAACGAAACCAGAAGTGACCTGGTGCTGTGTGTTCCTTCCAGTGCTTTTCAGAAAAAGGCATCCACTTCGGTCCTGCCACGTTAAGACAGTGCTACTCTGTGCTGCCAGCCTGGGGAATGATTTCTTTTTACCTCAATTCATCCTATGATGAATTTCCCCTGTCTCCTGCACTGCCCCTCAGTAGGGCTTTCCTTAACCATGAGCTGAAAAACATCTTCTAGGATGCAACCAGCAGTACAGTTAGGGGTTATGTATGGGATGAAGGGCTGGGAGGCTCTTCCTCGTTCCCATTACTGCCCCTCCTTTGGCCATGGGACATTTTGGGGTCTGCGTGTTCTGCCCTTTGATTTAGCTGCAATTTGTTTGCCCTCCTGCTGATTCCCTTTCAAAAAAATTCCATCCTTTCTTCTTCTCTCCCAAGCAGATGGACAGCCCAAAAAGGTTCGGAAGGTGCCTCCTGGACTCCCCTCCTCGGTGAGTGCTTGGGGCCCCTATCCCTGCACCCCACCCCCAGCACTTCCAACCCCCAACTCCAGCAAAGCATCAGTGTACAGAAAGAGAAGGGCTTCCCCCATCCCTCCCCACATGGGAGATTAAGAGAAACACTGCAGGCTGGGGGCACAAACACAGACAGAGGGGTCCCGCCCTCACTTCCCCCCCCCCCAACCCCCATCACTTTGAGGTTACATCACAGTGCCCCATTGCAATGGGATATTCAGCACGGTCAGATTTCAGTGCAGGAGGAAAGCAAAGCAGCCGTGAGGCACGCGGGCAGCTGGGGCTGCTCCAGGTGTGTGCACTGCCTGTGCTGCTTTATAGGAAAGCCGAGCAGGCTGCAGGAATCTGTTAGCCATGCTCCTATGGCTGTTGGAGGGGAATAAAGTGAACAATGGCTTTGTGGCTCGGAGTAATGGGATCTGCAAGAAAAGGAGGCTGGGGTGGGGAGGAGGGGGTGCAGAGCATGGGAGCTGTCTGGCCATGCAGCCTTCCCAAAAGACCTCAGGGATGTGGCAATGCACCTCGTGCTTCTGGGGGGGACCTTATAACTGCAGGACCCCAGCTGTAAGGAAAGAGATTCTGCTTTCATAGGGAAAACCTTGCTGCAGAAAATCGTGGTGCTGCGTCGTGCTCGTGTGAAATTCAGAGCTCCCAAAGCCCGGCTGCCATGCGGGGAAAGCGTTGCTCTGACAAATGGCCCTTTGTTGGCCTCGGATTTCAAAGGTGCTGGGGAGCTCCCTGTCACTCTGGTGCTGCTCAGAGGGCCCCGATGCCCCCAGGAGCCTCTCGGTGTTTGCTGGCCCCACGCACGTGTCAGCACCAACACCTGCACCCCAGCTATTCCAGCACCCCATAGGCAGTGGGGTTCTGCAGCACAACACAGCAGCCCCGTGCTGGCAGAGCAGCACAGCTCAATGCCACGCATCCACCTTTACTCACCCCCACTTTTAATGGGTTCCCCTCCACCCACCCCCCCCCCTCTTCCCAGCAGTGACCTCTGCTTTGCGTTCTGCTGTTGAACTTCCACGCTGGGGGAGAGAAATCCACACCTAAGTGGTACGGGGAGGAGGGGGAGGGAGGTGGGGTGGGACAAACGGCAGCAGATCAAAGGCTTTTTGCAGCCCAGCTCCGTGTTATCGCTGGAGCCCATGCAAAACAAACAGGTTCCAAAGCCTCTCCTTCAAAATAAAGTGCTTGGATGTGCAGTTTCCGAAGCTGCTTTGGATACATGGAGTGGGCACGCGGTGCTCGTGGTCCTGGCACAGCTTGGGGACCTCGATGGGGTTGGATGGAGTGAGGTGATGTGGTTCTGGGAGAGGTGGGATGCTGAGAATGGGGCTGGGCTGCATCCCAACGTGGGGTCGGTGGCTCGGTGCTCATCCTCTGCGGGTTCACTGCATGCTCAGCTCTGTGTTTGCTCTCAGTCTGCTGCGGTCCCACCCGGCTTGGTGCATTTAAACCAGAAAAACAGAGTGGGGGGGGGGGGGGAGAGAGAAAAAAAGGGAAAAAATAATAATAAGACGCAACCAAGAAGCACGAAGCTATAAATCCCTTCAGCTCACAGCTCTGGGGCTCTGTGCACGGCCCCCGGCCGGCCCTCGCCGTGCTGGCAGTTCCAACTGGAGGAAATGACCTCACCTGGAGGTCCCCGAGGCCGACGC